CAAAGAATCATTTGGAACAGGGCAAAGATTTTAAGTTGCGTCAAGTGCAGTATTATTGTTTACATCAACATAATATATTCAGGTCATAGCAAGCGATTAAATTCAGATTCTGTGAAGTCAAATATTTTAGATGTAATATCTGGACATCATTTTTTTTTTTTAGTTTGAGCAAGGTTATACTTTTTCCAGTGTGCAGCCACTTCAGGAAATCACAAAAAGGTCTAGATCAGGTGTCTGCAAGCTTTTATGTCCAAAGAACCAAGAGGGAGTGTTGGCCTAATGGTTAGAGCAGGGCGCTTGCCCTCTGAGAAGATTGCAGGTAGCCGTTTCAATCCCCACAGCCTGCACTCTGGGTCCCTGAACAAGACCCTTAACTCCACACTGCTCCCTGGGGGAGGAGTTAAATAATAAATAGAATTCAATTATTTTGCCGCAAGTCTGGCTAAGTAAAAGTAATTTATAGCAGCAAAAATCTGACTTTAAATACTGTAGAAATCAAAGAAACATTTAACCTTTTTTTCTTACATAACCTTGATCGTTTTGTTGTTTTTTCAACCATTTCATCACATAACCAAAGCCTATTGCGGTACATTTAATGTTTTAAAGTGATAAACTTAAGAAAACATCAGAAACATGACATACATTATTGTATTCCTATTTTGCATACAAATTCAACCATTTAAACTTTTCTTATATTGTTAAAAAAAAAGTATTGCTTGTTTTTTTTTTTCTACTTTTTTATATTATTGCATTATAATATGAAGGCACCAATAAAGAAAATATGTGCAGACTTGAGTGGTTGTAGCATGAAGAAAGGGGTGAGGGAATCATTTATCACGTGCCAAAAAAGAGACAGGAGTTTATTGTGATGTAAAGCTAGACAAATTGAGCTGTTGCTCAGGTTTGGCAGCTCTGCTAAAAATCTGACTGCACTGCTGAAGTAAACTTGCATTTCATTCAACCCATTTAAACTTATTTGAAGTTTTACTTTCATGATGAACAGCTTGCATGCAGTGAGATGACTTCTCCGGCTGCTGTCAGTAAGAGTTTTTTTGCGCACACAAGCGGTGGTGTCAGGAGGCCACAAGCTTAACCTGAGATCGGTGCAAGGTGTGTGCCAGGAGGCGCGTCTGAGGCCTGCAGGAGCGCCTTTTAAAGTCATTTCCATAAAAGCCAAACGTCTGCTTTCACACCAAACACATGCATTTTATCTGACTCTAAACTTGTTTCCACAGTCTTCAGTTAAACAAGCAGCAGTGGCCTTTAAATCACTTCCACCACCTCAGTTTGAGGAACAGGTTCTGGCTGATTTAAAATGCGCAGAGGAAACCAAACAGTTCATGCAAGGCCTAAAATCGGACGCCTGTGTTTGCTTCTAATCAATTAATCTGGCCTATTTGGAGCATGCATGTGTGAGTGTATCGGTGCAAACACGGGCCGCGTCCCGGTTCATGTGTGCCAAACGTTTGCAGATAAGCCAGGGTGTCTCCTGAGAGAGAAACAACATCTCCAAACTTCTCTGCATCTCTTACCGCTGCAGCGCTCCGTCCTGGGCGCAGCGGCAGCTGCAGCCGCCGCGCCTCCCGCTGCCGCCGCCGCGCAGCCTCCATTTTCCTGCTCGTCTCCACTGCTGTTCGCGCGTTTGCTCTTCTTCCCTTTGCTGTTCTTCTGGTTGGGCATTTTACGGAGTTTGAAACGTCAACGGTTGCTGTTTCGACCTTCTTTTTTTTAATCAGCGGCTGGTGTCAACGCTGTCTGACATTTCTGTTGACTCCATTTCTGCGGCGGATTTCGACGGTGCGTTTGCGGCGCTTTCTTTCTTTTATTTCACTCCTCTTGGTGTTTGAGGTCTCCTTCGGGGAAGAAGCGGACTTTGCGTTTCGCTGCAGGTAAAAGAAATAAGCTGCTATAACCTTTAATGGTGAAGGCGTGTCCGCGTCTTGTTTTGATTCCTGCTCTGCTGTTTTCTTCCACCCCCTGACGTCAACTGGCCCCGCCCCCCTCTAGTGACGTGCTGCGTTCAGGTACTATAGGTAAAAATAGATAACACTAATTTATAAAATGCCTGTAAATATATACTTTGGTTTATTAACTTTGATAAATTAAAACACTTATGTGTGTATGCTTCTGATTATTTGCCAAAGTTGCCTCTGGAAGTGCAGAAAAACACACCTCAGATGGGATATTAATGCAATAATTATAATAGCCTAATTACAAGTGGGGCCTTATCTGGTAGTGTGGCAGAAAGATGGACGTTGCTATTTCGAGGAGCATTTCCAAAAGGCGATATGTTGTGTAAAAAAAAAAGCAGTTTACCATAAAAACACCATCTTTGTGTTTAAACATGGAGGCACCAGCATCATGCTGTGTGAAGCTGGTCAGAGCTGAAAAGAAAATGAAAAGTTTCCACTACAAGCTTCAGATCAGAATCAGAATCAGAAGTACTTTCATAATCCCAGAGGGAAATTACTGTTGTTACACGTTCCAGTTACAGTTTTATATATTTATACACAACCAACCACACAAGATAATAAAGATATAAATATATACACATATAACTTTTCTATATATATATATATATATATATATATATATATATATATATATATATATATATATATATAACTAAATCAAAGTAAAGTGATAGTGACGTGCAAAAATAGTGCATAAATGTCAATTACAGAGTGGGAGTGTCTGAATCACTTGAGGGAGGCGTTATAGAGCAGGCATCCCCAACCTCGCCCGCTGTCCTGCAGGTTTTAGAGGTTTCCTTGCTTCAGCACAGCTGATTTTAATTGAAAGCTAATAAATCAGCTGTGCTAAAGCAGGGAAACCTCTAAAAATTGCAGGACAGCAGGCCTTGAGGACAAGGGTTTGGGATGCCTGTTATAGAGGAATGATTTCCTGTGGCGCTCTGTGGTGCATCTGGGTAAGAGGAGTCTCCTGCTAAAGGAGCTCATCTGCTGGACCAGTGTAGTCTATTAATCACTAAATACTTCCAGCGGCGTTTATCTAATATGACTCCAAAAATATTCACAGATGGATGAGTCTAGTCAAATTGGAACCAAATCCTGCAGGAAAAGAACTACAGAAAACAAACATTAAATATGAAGCATCCTGCTTCCTCTTCCTATCTCTGTGCTATTCAGACAACACTATCACAGTAACCGCTGGGACACTTCCAGTAGGGCTAAAGTGTCCTTGCTGATTTGTAGCATTTGGATAGATCCTATAGATATAAGACTCTTACCAGTAAGAATTAAACAATCAGCTAGGTTTGACTGCAGTTTTGTAAATCTGATTGAATTTCACTAGAATTAAGTGGTAAAAAGAAATCATTTTAAGCAGATTAGGTTAAACAAAACTTGGACAAAATTGATTGTCCGACTTTTAAATGCGTTTCAAAGCATTGTTAGATAAAGGTTGTCCTTTTAAAAAAACAATAATTAATAATTTGATATATTAATAATTTAATTTCATAAAACCTATTTTCACGGTAAGAAATTGAAAAATGATAAATGTATTAACTTTAGTACAACTAAATGTTGTAAAAATTACTATAACTAGCCAATCCTTCTTATCCATACCAGTATATACACTATATTGCCAAAAGTATTTGCTCACCTGCCTTGACTCACATATGAGCTTAAGTGACATCCCGTTCCTAATCCATAGGGTTCAATATGACGTCGGTCCACCCTTTGCAGCTAGAACAGCTTCAACTCTTCTGGGAAGGCTGTCCACAAGGTTTAGGAGTGTGTTTATGGGAATTTTTGACCATTCTTCCAGAAGCGCATTTGTGAGGTTGCACACTGATGTTGGACGAGAAGGCCTGGCTCTCAGTCTCCGCTCTAATTCATCCCAAAGGTGTTCTATCGGGTTGAGGTCAGGACTCTGTGCAGGCCAGTCAAGTTCATCCACACCAGACTCTGTCATCCATGTCTTTATGGACCTTGCTTTGTGCACTGGTGCACAGTCATGTTGGAAGAGGAAGGGGCCAGCTCCAAACTGTTCCCACAAAGTTGGGAGCATGGAATTGTCCAAAATGTCTTGGTATGCTGAAGCATTCAGAGTTCCTTTCACTGGAACTAAGGGGCCAAGCCCAGCTCCTGAAAAACAACCCCACACCATAATCCCCCCTCCACCAAACTTTACACTTGGCACAATGCAGTCAGACAAGTATCGTTCTCCTGGCAACCGCCAAACCCAGACCCGTCCATCAGATTGCCAGATGGAGAAGCGCGATTCGTCACTCCAGAGAACGCGTCTCCACTGCTCTAGAGTCCAGTGGCGGCGTGCTTTACACCACCGCATCCGACGCTTTGCATTGCACTTGGTGATGTATGGCTTGGATGCAGCTGCTCGACCATGGAAACCCATTCCATGAAGCTCTCTGCGCACTGTTCTTGAGCTAATCTGAAGGCCACATGAAGTTTGGAGGTCTGTAGTGATTGACTCTGCAGAAAGTTGGCGACCTCTTCGCACTATGCGCGTCAGCATCCGCTGACCCCGCTCCGTCAGTTTACGTGGCCTACCACTTCGTGGCTGAGTTGCTGTCGTTCCCAAACACTTCCATTTTCTTATAATACAGCTGACAGTTGACTGTGGAATATTTAGGAGCGAGGAAATTTCACGACTGGATTTGTTGCACAGGTGGCATCCTATCACAGTTCCACGCTGGAATTCACTGAGCTCCTGAGAGCGACCCATTCTTTCACAAATGTTTGTAAAAACAGTCTGCATGCCTAGGTGCTTGAATTTATACACCTGTGGCCATGGAAGTGATTGGAACACCTGATTCCAATAATATGGATGGGTGAGCAAATACTTTTGGCAATATAGTGTATATATATATATATATATATATATATATGGACCAAGAGGCCAGAATGAACATATTATCAAATACTTTTAGTATTTTTTAACACTTGAAAACAACACCTGCAACAAATGAGCCCGCCTTTAAAATAAACTCCATCACAAATATAGAAAAACATTTAAAATTTTCAAGTGTAAAGACTTTATTTTTCAAAGCAGGTTCCACAGAACAAAGCCCAGTACTGTTGGTAATATGACATACAGTAACAATGCACCTAAATGCAAATGGCCTGAGTACCGACTCGGATCACTGACACACACACAGCTTCCTCATTTCCACAACGCTTAAAACTCTTGGGGTTCATTCTAACCGATGCGTTTCTGCTTCTCTTGGCCTTTAACCCAAAGCTCTGATCCGTTTATCGTCATCAAAACATACAGATCAAACAGAACAAACGCCTGCAGGTAAACTAAAAGGCAGAGTTGATGCAAGAGCAGATGGTCAAAAAAATAAACTTGTCTTTCATTAGCTTTCAGTTGTGCTCAATTAAATTGACCCCATTTATTAAATTTAAAATCTTTGTGCAACATTTTTAAGACAAACAGAAAAAGACTCCATTTATCAGCAAGTTTTAAAAGTCTGAATATTTTTTTCTAAAATAGACATAATCAATGCATCTCTACGAATAGTATTTCAAAGTTTTCACACAAACCCAGGTGTGTCCTGTGCCACCATAAACAGAAAGAAGTATTATATAGTTTGAAAATTGAGTTAAGTAGTCATAAGTAGACCAATCATATAGGATTAACAATAATAAACCCCCCTCATTTAAAAAGGAAATGTTTTAAGAGCGTATATAGGGCCATGGGACAGTTATTAAGCACATTTTTGGTCCTGAGAATCATTATTAGAACAATTCCACCACTGAAGGCTGCACAAGAAATACATTCACCATTTGATCAGTAGAAGTTTCCACAAAGGCATTTTTTGGTTATTTGTAAAGGAACTTCATTAGTGACATTTAAAAAGAGCATCTTTGTTTTTTTTTGTGGTTATAAATCAGACGAGCAGCTAGGAAATCTCAAAATGCACTTCTAACGTTCTTTGTGGTCAAAAAAATAATGAGCTGTTCTAAAAAGCTCAAAAAACGTCTTGTTTTAAAGTCCACAAGAGGTAGTAGAAGTGGCTCATGTAAACAGTACGCAGAGCAGCCATGTTGTCAAAAGCAACTGCAATTTACACTACTGACGCACATTTTTTTCCATCTGTTGGAGAAACAGCTGCTTTTAGATCGCACACTCCAGTAAAGACAATCACAGATATTAGACATTGTTCCTAAACAGTGGTATTCTCAACAAAGGCATCTGATTGGGTTCGAATACTTTCATCAAAAACACAACATAAAAAAATAAAAACATAGATTTCATTTCCACTTTGTGCATCTTTAATGATTGGATTTGTAGGAAAATGATATATATGGTTTATAAAAAAGCGTTGCCCTGAATGGGTCACCACTTTTCCCTGAACTCCTGTATCGAAAGGTTTGCCTCCATCTCAGGAAGACGGAAATATCAGTTTCTCGAATAATCAACTTCCAGCATAATCTGTATTAACGTTTTTTTTTTCAGCTTCATAATATTCAGATCGTAAAACTCAGGACAGCGTAGAAGTGCAGAAGAGTATGTTAATTTTCCAGAAACCAAGCTTCCCATTTTAAACATGCCTCCTTAGAGGATTTATGGACTTAATTTCAAATAGCTGGAAGGGGGAAAATATCCAACAAAAAAATGCACTAATTTCTTTCTTTTTCTTGTTTGGAAATTTGTAACCTAACATAAAACCCCTCCTGGAGTCTATAACCATTTAGAGCTGCTGCCTCACTTAAAAATGCAGATTGTTTATTTTCACTTTTATGTCAGAATTTCTGGGCCCTAAAAAAAAAAAATATATACTTTTTTTTTTTTTTTTTTTTTAGCTAAAGTGTTGTAGAAACTTGGACACAGGCGAATCCACTGCTGGAAGGCAGTGTTGTCAGAGGATTCAGTCCAATTAAAATTGGTTTCATTCTTTCAGCAAGATGACGTCAACATTGTCGTGGACCCCCTGCAGAAGCAGCTCGCCTTGGAAGTCGACCACCTTCTGCTTCTTGGCCGCCTTCAGCGTGCCCACCAACGCCTCGAAGATGTTGGCACAACGGTCGTCGCTAAATAAGACCCCGAACTTCACGCTGGTCTTACCATCTGCATCTAGAAAAAAAAAAAAAAAGGATTTATAGGTAAACTGGATTGAATGTTGACAACTAGGGATGACCTAAAACATTTGTGTTTTCTGGCAACCACGCCAATTGTCTCGGACCAAGGGTAGATGGGGGGCCCTGAATCAGGCCCCAACATCTTTTATCACAAAAATTATTTTTAAAAGATGTTTGCAAGGAAATTGGAGCTTTATTCTTAAGATTCATGAAATATTTTCCTATTATTTCTTTCTTTTGATTATCCACTGCAGTACTGGGAAGCAACCCCACCAGTCATTCCTTCTAACTGGTTTTACCACTGACGCAGTTTCTCTTAAGTTTGTCAAGCTGCTGTATATAAGGCCCCGTCCACACGAAGTCAAAACGAACACGAAACGCTAATATTTTCCAGAACGTTTGTCGTAAAGACGGAGACGTAAAATAAATGTGATCGTCCACACGAATGCATGAAAACGCTGCAAAATGTATGCCAGGCCTGTAAGTGGCGCTGTGGTGCCAAAGCAAAAATAGGCGACGAAATGTTGGGCATGCGCACTAATATTTATACATGGTTGCCCTGCGGGTCCATTTTCATGGTTCAGCCAAATTCAGGTGCTGAACTATGTCATCGATATTGCTCTGTTCTTCCTGGAGATATTCCAGAAGAAGATTCTGTTGTAAGCCCGACAGCAGGGTGAGTAGCATGAGCAGCAACCATTCAACACAGTACGGCGCCATTGTTGTTGTGATACTGTGTCGCGCATGCGTGTTTAGAGGCGACGCTATGACGCATGCGTGTAAGAAAAAAAATGTGGTTAGAGCTTAAAGATGGAAACGCGAAAACGGCGTTTCAAAATCTTCCCACTTTGAAGGCTGAATAAAAAAAAAGATCGTTTACAGACCCCAGAAACACCGGCTTCGTATGGATGAGAGGCTGGTTTGGTGAAAAATTTGTGCGTTTAGGCCAGGGTTTGACTTCGTGTGGACGGGGCCTAAAGCTGGTTGAGACATGAGAATACAGAACCTGAATCTTCCCCTCTGCACACGGTCAGGCAGCAGCTCCATCACTTTAACATGAACAGTAGGGGTGTGCAAAATAGGGGTGTGCAAAATAATCGTGATGATGATGCATCGTGATTCTAATTTTCGTGATCTACTGAATCGATTCTTGATGCCAAGAATCGATTATTAATTAAAAAAAATGAATAAATAAAATTGCATGAATGGTTGGCGAACATCAGCCAAAAACAAGTGTAATACAACTTTCAGTCCAGTAGATGTCGCTGCAAATGTGTTGACGCACGCTGCCGTGTGTCACAAGCATTTCCGGCCGCGGGATACTGTGCCGAGTCATTCAAAAACAAAACATGGAGGAGAAAATATTCCAATGCATCGCAATAATTCAAGTATCATGATGCATCGTGATAGAATCGCATCGTGGCCTGTGAATCGTGATTCGAATCGAATCGTGACTTCTTTGGCAATACCCACCCCTAGTGCAAAATAATCGTCATGATGATGCATCGTGATTCTAATTTTCGTGATCTACTGCATCGATTCTTGACACCAAGTATCGATTATTAATTTTTAAAAATGAATCAATAAAATTGCATGAATGGTTGGCGAACATCAGCCAAAAACAAGTATAATACAACTTCCAGTCCAGTAGATGTCGCTGCAAATGTGTTGACGCACGCTGCCTTGTGTCACAAGCATTTCCGGCCGCGGGATACTGCGCCGAGTCATTCAAAAACAAAACATGGAGGAGAAAATATTACAATGCATCGCAATAATTCAAGTATCGCGATGCATCGTGATAGAATTGCATCGTGGCCTGTGAATCGTGATTCGAATCGAATCGTGACTTCTTTGGCAATACCCACCCCTAATGAACAGTACAGCGGCTCTCACCTGAAGAAGCCGCCTCAAGCCACAGAACAGATTTAGATCAAACACAATGCTTTCAGAGGCCTACAAAAGCCTCTAAAGGTGTTCATAGCTTGTAAGATCTCTGATGGAGCAAAAAACTCAGCAGTTTCTGTCAAGGGTTTGTTCCCCATCTTTGCTAGATGAAGTTATAATAAAGCCTGGACCAATAGTTATTGTTAAGAGGTTGAGATGTGTTGAATTTGAATGTCGTGACTACATGGCACGTCCACGGCTGCAACAATGCTGCGGTGGTAGTCAAAAAATTGACAATACTACTGTCTACAGCCTTAACTGCTTAAGAGAGATTTTGACCAGACATTTTGTGGACCAATTGAAACATGTCACACAAGTAAAAATCTGTAAACAGGATCAAATGCGACTGGAGCAGGTATGGAAAGCCAAATGTGTCGCATATTTAATCAAATAAAAATTGGAAAGATCCATTTGTAAATGTAAACATATAGTTTTTTTTATCCTTAATAAATACTTTTAATTTACTTAATTAACTATTAAATACATTTCTCTTGCTTCCAGAAAAGGTTACTTAAACAATATACCATCTTAGGCAAGACCTCATTGAAAGATTGATTATTCAAGATCTTCCAAAAATAATTAAAAACAATCTTAACTTTTTTTTTGAATGACTATGACCTGGAGACCTTGATGACCTGAACCTTCACCAGCATTATTCAGGACTTATATAGTGTGTGTATATATATATATATATAATAATTGAAAGGCCTTCCCACTCTATAATTCTCTAGATTTTGTCCCAGGCCTGGCCAAGGCTATCAGCTGGCCTGTTTATAACAACGTGCTTAAATGGGATATTATGTGATAGATCAACACAAAGTAGATTATTGTAACCTGGAACACTAGGGAGAAGTTTAAAGCATGGTTAGTTTATTAAAGAACATGTCGTTTTCACCACCTTATGAAACTCTGCTCAATATATTGCACAGAAATGAATAATATATGGCACAGTTAGGGTTGTCAAAAGTGTCTAAACTCAAAAAAGTATCGATACTGAAACGTTGTATCCGGATACAATACTCGTTTTTAAAGGTATCGATACAGTGCTGCCACCTGTGGCACCTAAGCAGTCATTCATCTATAGTGCAGAATAGAGGACAATGCACTTTTCAGTTTCAGACTTTTTTTTTTTGTATAAGGTGCAGCTGCTGAGAATTATTTTTGTTTCTTAACCGGTTTAGCTAGTGTCATTGTTATGTGTGCAAAGCATAGCCAAGGAAGGAACACTTACTTTTAAGTTTTTTATCAAGCTTGCTTAATATTGTGCACCGCAAACAACCTCAAAATATTGTTCTTATTGTTTATTGTATTAATTTATTGTATTTTATTTATTTATGAAAATATTTCTGTAGAATTTTGGAGTCTTTGTTTTTAATCCTTATGGTATCGAAAATGGTATCGAGTATCGAATATTTTCCTTAGTATCGGTATCGAGTTGAAAAGTTTTAGTATTGTGACAACCCTAGGCACAGTTAAAAATTGCAGACAGACAAAGCTGCCCTCTTTAAGAGCCTATAGAATGAATCAGAAAAGCTGGAAAGAGACCTGCTGCAACCCTAGAGGAGCTGCACAGATCCGAAGTTCAGGTAAAAGGAGGCCCCATCATCGGGAAAAAAAAACATCACAAATTTTTTGGCCTACATTAAAAACGGTTTGGTGGAGAACCAAGACTGCCTATAAGCCTGAACGCACCGTCCCATGTCAAAACATGGTGGTGGAAGCAGCATGTTGCGCCAGCCTTAGCTGATAGAAGGATGGATTTAATAAAGAGTAGACCTGGCGAAAGATCTGTTAAAGGTAGAGCAACCTGACAACACAATAGAGATTCACCTTCCGGCATAAAAATATCCAAAAATGTTTACAGAAAGACGAAATAAAAATTTCAGTCTTTAAAAAACTGAAGCTGTATGAAGGACACCTTGGCTTGTAACTGTACTTGCAATGAACAATTGCTCTAAAAATGGGGGATGGTAAACAACTGTATACATTCATCCCTTTGTGTTGATCTCCTATAATAAATCCTAACAAAAAAAAAAAGCAATCACTTTAGTTGTTCCAACATGACAAATCATGAATGAGAGTTATCACAACCACGTGTTTAATAGCTTAAGGCAAATAGATGACTATGTAGGTCATTGAGTTGTGATGCTCTAATCTAGTTATCCAGCAAGGTTGGAAGTGGTATAATAAACTATGAATAGGTGTTAATATCAAAGGATTATTGTTTGCAACACTAAGAAACCTCTGGATCTGGATGGGGGTACGCACATGAGAAGGTAGACGTGTTTTCAGTGCGCTCCTCCGATAAATCGAGTCTTTACTTTACAAAATACTTTGACACCATAAACACCTAGCGGAAAACACAATTTATTCGCTTGGTCGGCGACTATATGTGGAAATGGGTCCAAAAAAGCAAGGGACAATGAAAAAATCTGAAGAGAAAGAGCAGGACGGCGACATGCTAAATGAGCTAACTGCTAATGCCTCAGCAGACACCGCGGCTATCCTCTCCGCTATCGGAGAAATGAGTCGCAAAATGGACGAACGTTTTAACTCAATACAAACTGCTTTGGAAGAGAACCAAACTACCCTGAGAGAACATGGAGAACGCCTGTGCGCCTTGGAAAGTGCTTCCAGCGAACATGACTGCAGGTTGGCAAAAGTGGAGCAACTAGTGTCGAGGCTGGAGGAAGCTAATAAGGCCTTGCATGAGAAAGTTATCGACTTAGAGGCCCGCTCCAGACGTCAGAACATAAAGCTTGTGAATCTGCCGGAGAATGTCGAAGCTGGGAAACCAACTGAATTTGTCTCGAGATTGCTGTCGTTACTTTTCGGACACGAACACTTCCCACAGCCTGTTGAAGTGGATCGGGCGCATAGGCTAGGAAGCCGGCCATTGGATGCTAAAAGGCCCCGTATTATGATAGCAAGGATTCACAATTACCGAGTCAAGGAACGCATCATGCAACTAGCCGCTAAACACTCTCCACTGATGTATCAGGGCCAACGTATCCACATTTTCCCTGACTTCCCAGCAGAGATTGTGAAACGTCGTCAACTCTACGAGGACGCGAGGAAAAAGATTAAAGATGCGGGCCACAGAACGGGGTTCATCTATCCAGCTCGGCTACGCGTTACCCATGGCAACGTAATACACACGTTCAACTCCCCTGAAGAAGCCAACGCTTTCGTGAGAGGCATCATGACTGAAGAGAATAACTGAAGAGAGCTCCAAAGTAGAACAATATTAATTCAGGTTTACACCTTAACTGTGCTATTCACTTTACATCTGCATAAGCACGTTGGAGAGGGATCTCAGGTAATGTTGGAGGTAGATTAAGCACTTTTTTTTTTTTTTCATAAAGATGTTTAAGTTTGAAGAAAAGTTATATACCTATTTCGGTTCCAAGCTTTTTGTGTGCCTTTTTTTCTTTGTTTAATAGTGTTTTGATATTACAATTTATATAAATATGTCGGAGGAATGCAACTTTAGAATAGTTTTTGTGATTCTAACAGCTAAATGGTATAATTGCCACATACACTGTTAGAGGTTACCCCCTTAGATAGATGTTAGGCTGGGTCTGTTTCCTCTACTTTGTTTGGGAAAGTAGGGTAGAAGGGAGGATAGGTTTTTATGTGTGTCTTTTTCAGTTTTTTGTTTGTTATCTGTATTTTTATGGAGTACTAAATTTGTCCGCTCTGCAGAAAATGACCCCTAAAGTTTTTGATGACAAGGGATAACAAGAATGATGAGGGGTTCAAAATGGTTAGCTGGAATATCAGAGGTATGGGTAACCATGTTAAGAGAGCTAAAGTTTTTACACATTTAAAATCTCTTAAGTCTGATATTTCCTTTTTACAGGAAACTCATATCAGGCCTCGTGATCAGACACGTTTGAAATGTAATTGGGCAGGACAGGTATATCAATCAACTTTTTCTAGCAAAGCACGAGGAGTAGCCATAATAATAAAAAAAAATATCCCCTTTCATCACATAAACACAATAAATGATCCTAATGGTAGGTTTTTGATTGTTATTGGGGAGTTGTATTCTCAACATGTCACTCTAGTAAATATATATGGTCCAAATGTAGATGATGCAGGATTTTTTCGTAAAGCTTTTGATAATATACCAGATTTGATAAATACTAATTTAATCATTGCGGGGGACTATAATTTGGTTTTGGATTGGCATATGGACAGATCATCCAGAAGACAACCTGTACCATCAAATGCTTCAGTAACCTTGAATAACTTAATTTCATCTGTTAACCTAGTAGATATTTGGCGATTACAACATCCAAGAGAGAGAGACTACTCTTACTTTTCCAAAATGCATAATTCTTACTCGCGTATTGACTTTTTTCTGTTGGACTCCAAACTTTTACCGAATGTTATTGATAGTAAATATCATAATATTTTGATCTCAGATCATGCGCCCACGAGTATAAATTTAAATTTTAATATTCCAAAACAAAGCTCAACATGGAGATTACAACCATACTTGCTTAATGATATAAATTTTTGTAAATACTTGTCACAGAAAATAGATGATTTCCTAAACACTAATGACACTTTAGATACATCAGATTCAAATTTATGGGAAACATTTAAAGTAGTCATGAGGGGACACATCATTTCATATGAGGCATCGCAAAGAAAAATTAGAAACTCGAGACTGAAGGAGATTAATGACAAGATATCGGAATTAGAAATACGGTATAAAAAAAATATGAATAGTTTTACACTGCAAGAAATTCTTACTCTTAAATATGAATACAATACTATTTTGACAAAGCAAGTAAGTTACCAAATTTCTCAGTTACGAGTGCGTTATTTTGAGCTTGGAGACAAGCCACATACTCTCCTATCTCGACAACTAAGAGGCCAACAGAACAGTAGAGCAATACACAAAATTAGGTCCAACACAGGTGAAATTATTACTACTCCAAAATCTATAAACAAATGTTTCACAGAGTTTTACAAGGAATTATACAGAACAAAAGCACAGGGGAACATAGATTCCTGGCTAGAGGGAGTCCCCATCCCAATGCTTGAGAGTCCTACTCGAAAGGTCTTAAACCAACCACTGACCATGAAAGAGATCTCTGATTCTGTTAAATCGTTCGCCTCTGGGAAAGCCCCAGGTCCAGATGGGTTTGGAGCTGAATTTTATAACAAGTTTGTTGGACAAATATCTCCACTCTTGCATAGGATGCTGCTTCACTCAATGGCTACAAAAACGCTTCCGCCCAGTTTATATGATGCAAACATTGCCCTTATACTCAAACCAGATAGAGACGACACAAACCCTGCATCATATCGCCCTATATCTATGTTGAATCTAGACTGTAAGATTTTTACAAAAATTCTGGCCAACAGACTAAATTCTTGTATTGAATCAATTATACACAAAGATCAAACAGGGTTTATCCCTAACAGACATTCTTTTTTTAATACAAGAAGAGTGCTAAACATCACATATCACAAATTTCCAGCAACGTCAAAACAAACTATACTATATTTAGATGCCGAAAAGGCGTTTGATCAAGTTGAATGGGGGTTTATGTTCAAGGTTCTTGAAAGATTTGGGTTGGGGGAACCCTTTATTTCCTGGGTACACTTAGTTTATATGTACCCGACTGCCTCAGTTGTCACCAATCAAGATAGATCTACTCAATTTTTATTGGAAAGAGGCACACGGCAGGGGTGCCCACTCTCGCCATTGTTATTTGCCCTTGCCATCGAACCCCTAGCCATCAGTATCCGAGAAAACCCAGATATTAAACCCATAACAATTGGAGGAGTTGATCATAAAATATCGTTATACGCTGATGATATTGCCATTTTCTTATCGGATCCTGAGCTCTCAATCCCTACACTATTGGATGTAATAAATGGTTTTGGTGCCGTCTCTGGCTACACTATAAACTGGCAAAAGAGTGATCTCATGATTCTCTCAGCAGATTTAGATCCCGCGTTTCTATCCTCAATTCAGTTCAACATTTCAGATAAAGTTAAATATCTAGGTATCAGAATAACAAAAAATCCAAATTCTCTTTTTAAGTATAATTTTACTGCTAGATTAAACTCCTTAAAAGAGAATATAGAAAAATGGAGAATACTGCCTCTGTCACTTATTGGTCGGATTAATACAATTAAAATGGTTTCCCTCCCGAGATTTACTTATTTATTTCAGAACATTCCAATATATCTCCCAAAAAAATTCTTCAAGCTGATTGATTCGGTTATCCTGCCATTTATCTGGGGCTACAAATCACATAGAATATCAAAAACACATCTTCAACAGCCAAAGAAGTGTGGTGGTTTGGGCCTACCATGTTTCCTACATTATTACTGGGCTGCCAATGCCAGAGTGTTGATATACTGGCAGATGACTCCAGATTTAGCTACTTCAGAAAATGTCCCATCTTGGCTAACAATAGAACATAGCTCAGTTTCAAAATCATCTCTTCAGGCACTTCTTTTTGCATCACCAAGACCCCGGACCTCTACACGAGGAGAACATTTTATCATACAGCAATGTGAGAAAATTTGGTTACAGATTCGAAAATATTGCCAACTTCCTAATCTGTCCATTCATGCTCCAATATGGCATAATCATGCATTTCCTCCGTCGTTTACAGATGCTGTTTTTAGAGAATGGTCCAGTAAAGGTATAGTGTCAATCAAAGACGTATATATAAATAAAAAATTCTGTTCTTTTGAACAATTAGAAGCAAAATACAGTCTACTTAAGAGTCATTTTTTTAGATTTTTACAATTAAGAAATTATGTTAGGGATAATTTGCCAAATTTTGACTCTCTCCCTTTGGATAATGATTTGTTCAAAATCATGCTCGGCCCACCAGAGTCCCAGGGTTTAATTTCCTCATTGGTCCGCTATTTTTTAAGTAAGTCTGAATGTTCAACGTTAAATATAAAGCAAAAGTGGGAGGAGGATCTCAATATTACAATCAAAGACGATGTATGGAGCAGAGCACTGGGTGACATACACTATTGCTCAGTGAACTCAAGATTGCAAGTAATACAATATAAAGTAGTTCATAGGTTACATTACTCAAAAACAAGGTTAAACAAAATTTTCCCACAAACATCACCTCTCTGTGACAGATGTAAAATATGGGACAGCACATTAGCACATCAATTTTGGCTTTGTCCAAATATTCAAGGTTTCTGGACCTCAATATTTGAATGGTACTCTCGCGCCCTTAAAGTTAACATAAAACCCGATCCAGAAACAGCCCTCTTTGGTGTCTCGGACACTCTTAACAAATTGGGTCGTGATGTAACAACAGTGGTCTCCTATGGCATGATGATAGCCAAAAGATGCATATTAAAGCAGTGGAAGGCTGACAGACCACCTAATTTTGAATCTTGGATCAAGGAATTTACAGGAATCTTGCACATAGAAAAAATTAGATTTGATTTAATAAACTGTCCTCAAAAATACTACAAAATTTGGAAACCCATTCTAGAACAATTGAAGCCATAAAGAACCCCTATCCTCCCCTCTTTTCTTTGTTCTACTTTATCTCATTTGTTATGAATAAAGGTGTGGACACTCCTAATTGTTTGGTTGAAACTCCATAAAGTGTGTTTTTTTACTTTCAGTATGTCCAAAGTGTAAATGAACAAATAATTTTTATATAATATTATTTATTGTGTGTCTAATGCTTTTTTTTGTTGTCGTTTTTTTTTTTTTTTTTTTTTTTTTTTTTTTTTTTCTTTTTGTTTGTTTTTTTTTTGTGACAAATGCTAAAGGATTCACTAAAGGACATTAATCATTGTCATGTTTTCGTTATATACCTGTAGAAAATTCTATAAAAATAAATAATAAAAAAAAAAGAAAAAAAAAAAAAAATATTAATCTTTTGTGTAATTCATGTCAAATAAAACGAAAAAATAAATAATTCTAAATAAATATCAGTTATTAAGAAACCTCTGGATGAAACATCAAATCCTGCCATCCCAGCTTTGACTCACTTTGGCTGCCAAGTCGCTGAATCTCCTCCACCAGCAGGTTTATTTCATGTGATACATTCATTGCTGCTAGAAACGGGGGAAACATAAACAGATTAGTGCAAAAACAAACATTAAATGGGATTTTTAAAGAAAACTGGGAGAAAATGTAAACAGCCTTTACATTTATAAAGCAAATATAGATTTTTACAGATGTACTTTTGAGATATGAGTAGATTTGTGTGAAACACTGAGATAAGCACTGAAGACTGCAGAGCTGTAATCAACGTTAACAAGCTGCAACCTGAAGTGATCAGGGCGGACTGTCACTAATGCGGAAATACAGGAGTAGCATTCACGGCTAGCTAAACGGAAGCATCAAATGATTATTTTAGCTCTTTCATTTCCAAAGCAAATATTCATAATAACGTGCGGTTTAATCCATCCAATCTGACCTTTTTTTTCTATGACTTCCGGGTGCAAAAAGGGGATTTATCCGCTTAGTAACTCGATCAAATGATGTGTCGGGTGCGGATGGAGTTTTTTTTCTCTCTCGCTTGAACTGATTTGATGCACGACGGGAAATTTGTTTAATGAGTTTACATGAAAAATACAAAACACGATAGCTATGAACACATTTTACCTATTTAGTAGTACGTTTTCCTGTAGGGAGGTGATGTAGTAGGACTTTCTGAAGAGTCGGCACCCGGTGAGAATATTGCTGCGTTCAGTGGATGCTCGGAAAATTCGCTTACTAAAGTAAACTAGTGAGGTGGAGCAACAACAAAAAAAAAAGGAAAAAAAAATAGACGGCATAGAGACTGACGTTTGTAGTTGTTAAATGATATACAACAATTTAATTGAAAGGTCATTTAATAAAAAATAAGAAACGAGCTGCACCACATTATATCTGTTTCCATCTCCAAGTGAAAGAGATTAAGTGAAGTCGAAAGGAAATGCAACAAATGAAAGGCACTCTGAATTTAACTGGTTAAGGCGCTATAAGGGTAATTCAGTTATGGAACGTTTCGTATAAATAGTAAGAATTGCCAGGCGTACAAATGTAGCCTTTAGAATTGTTCCTTTCCCTTCGAAGCCAAAGGTAACATGAAGGCACCATGATAACCCGCTGTAATGATGGGAATTCAATCTCTTTTCTTGGATCCGACTCATTTGGCTCAGATCTTTCATGCCGAAACATTCATTTAAATCTGGTCTAATAAACCTCCAGGTATGGATGGTAATTTAAAACTCAGACACACAAACTTTTGCAAGCTATCAAAGCAGTTTAAACTCATACTTATAGATCCCCTGTGTACTGTTAAAAGAATATTTCTATTTAAAGTGAATATAAAGGCTTAGAACATTATTGTGTCTCTTTTTCTATGCACTCTCTGAAGCTCTAGGACCCAGGTTGGGGATGCCTGGCCTATGATCAACTGACTTGAAAAGCCTTATTTGGATCAAGTTGGACTACATTTAAATAGATCTGAACCCGGTTGTATGAACAGTACTGGAATGAAATAGTGATTTCTAACAGATTTTTTTATTTTATTTTTTTCATGGAGCCACATTCTGAATACATTTAAATTCAATTGAAATGAGAAATAAAAGTCACACATTGTTCCTGTAAATGAATAGCAGGATGTGTCGGCTCAGTCACAACAGACACATCCTTACTCGTCTGACTTCATTGTGACCCACAGGATGTGTTCATTTTGGCTGAAGAATTGGTGGAATTCAATTTGAAAACTTTATATTTAAATTATGTTCAACTAATAAAGACATTCATAATAATAATAAAAAAAAATGCATCTCATAAAGGATTATAAAACAATGTCAAAGAATTGCTTATGTTTTAGCGCCATCTTATACTATACTTGAAATATTTTATTTTTAAAAATGACAATTTGTTGCATGTATTACATCTTTTCTAATAGATTTTCTTTTGAATATGAGTTTGGTGTCTTTGAAAACGGAAGGCCCTCTTTTCAGCACACTAATCATTAACTAACTAGATTCTCAATGAGAATAAAATCAGCACTCTTGGCAGACAAACTCTAAATATTGATATTTCTTCTGGTGAGACAAAACATGTTGATATAAGTCAGAGGTCTATATAAAACTTAAAGTTGGATCTTAAAATATACACAAGAGCTTCTCATATGGTGGAATTGTATACAACAAAACACTGATTAATGCTGTTGCGGATTTAAAGGTGTAAAGTAACCCTTTAATTTAGCTATAGGTGGGAAGACTGGCCAAAACTGAAGTAATAACAATATTAGATGAATACATGTACCTCAAGTAAAACTAAATACACTAATGAAATACATTTCATTGGCTTTGAGTAAAAATTGAACTTGGTTAAAAACAATTAGAATAATAAAAAAAACAACTTAAAAAGGTCTAATTAACTAATCAGAATATCTGATTTAATATTTTAAATAATTATGTAGATATAAAAATGAAAAATGTACCTCCAAACTTTTAGATATTACAGGAAAGAAATAAAACACATTAATAACATTGCAAAAAAAAAAAAAGTCTGGCAGAAAAAAAATAAGTATATCTATGTTTACAACATAAAACTTTTGGAAACAATACTTATAGTAAATAATGTTAGAACAATGTAAAGTACTCCAAATAGTAGAGCAGGCTGAGCAGACAGGAAAAAAAGTAGGTTTAGGTTTGTGTCAAAAGATTTTTGGTTGAAACATGCCTGATCTTTATTCAGTGAAGTAGCTAAAGGTGGATGGAGAAGCCAGAATCTGCAGTCAAGGGAGACTTTCAATACAGTGTTACTTAAGTAAAAGCGAAATGTATGATGCAGTAAAACTCTTTCTAGAAGTAAGTTTTCTTTGTAGTTTTTCCCCAAAATCTACTCAAGTAAATATAACTGAGTAAATGTAACAAGAACTTCTTTATTTACTTAATTATCTAAATCTAAGATTATGTTTCTATGGTGTATTTTTCTATATTTACAAATCTGTTTAATGTATCAGCTCTATATAGACAAATCAGACCCATCAGGGGGAGAAGAGAGCAGGAATCACACTATTACTGTATTGTTAACCAGAATCTCAATCAAATTTTAGTGAAGTTTTATATGCACAGGAGAAGGGAAATATTAATTTTGTTTGTATGAGTGGAAATATTTTTTATGCCCCTACTTGATTGCTTTCTGAAAGATAGAGAAATAGTTATAATTGCATTTATTTTCTTTCGTGAATTCAAAGTTAGGGTAAAAGCTGCATTTTTTACTCATGAGTTAGTCATCTGGTTCCCTGCAGGCCAGAGAAGACTCCAATGTTGGAAACACCAAGTTAAAAAGTAATTCATAAAATGCCAGGTCTTAAACTGGAAGTTAGCTAATTTTGTTTTCAGAATAAAAGCTCTTTTTTAAGCGAGAGAAATGTTTACACACAACTTTGGCTTTGTTCTATCCCATAAGCACTTTATTTGTCAAGTGTACACGTGATTTAGATGATGCATTAAAAATGCTACAAAAAACATTTTTGCTGTTGTTCTTTTTCCCCTTACAAAGACTAAATTAAATTTAAAGTAGTCATAAAGCATTTCAAAACAATTAAAAAGTATCTTATATTATATACACTATTAGATAGTTAAAAAAAACATGTATTTAAGATCAGGGGATAAATAATATTTTAATAAATATTATATTGTTATAGAAAATCTAATTAAAACCTTTATCTATTTCAGCTTCATACTGTTATTTTGCGCCGTAAAAAAAAAAGATCCCCACAATTTCTGAGTTTGATATTGTAATCTTGTAAATAGCTTAATTAGATTTATTTATTTGATATCTGTATTAATTACTTTGTTCATTTTAATGTCATTTGCACTGACGAAAATATACAATTGAGCTGCTTTACTTTTACTGTTGTAACCTGCTGTGCATGAACCATGATTATACATAGACTTTTTATGTAATTTTGAATTTACTATTTATTAAGCCATACAGTGATGAGTTGCTGTTGATAACGATAAAGAGGTTTACATAAAGACTGATTACTCATATTTGCTTTTTGGTCTGGCAGTCATTTTAAGTGTACAGTTCTTTTACAGGTAGGTCCAGAAAGAAATGTTAATTTTAATTAAAAATGTGGTCGAGCATCATAATCATTTAACATAAAATCGATCAAATAAAAGAAACTGATGAAGCAATTTACAAGGTTACAGTATTAAACAGTGAATGCAAAAAATTAACCTTTTTTTTTTTATCATTGCTTAACATATGCAAAAGCGGGGGGTGCTGGTCTAGTGGTTAGAGCTGCCTGCTTACCATTTGAGAAAGTTGCAATTATCCCCACAACCTCCACTCTGGGTTCCTGAGGAAAACCTTTAACCCCACACTGCTCACTGGGTGCCGCACAATGGCAGCCCACTGCTCCCCAAGGGAATGGGTCAAATGCGGAGAGTAAATTTCCCCATTGTTGGACAACAAAGGGATTTATAAAATGATTCATTCAGAGGCGTAGCCAGAAAATTTTAATAAGGGTGGCCAGGCAATAATTATTGTAAACTGAGGGGAGGCCAAAAGCAGATAGGTGCCAGAACCTCAGGGTCAATCTACACTTTTCAGCAGGAATGACCAGTGTCCTACCATGACTGTGAAGCTGATCCCAGTGGGAAATTAGTCCCTAACTCTGTAGGGGCAGTGATAGCCATGACAGTCCAGGGATTGACTGCAGTTCTACTATTAGGCGCCTTGGTCAAGATCAATGACCGGTGTATCTGACATGTAACAACCATACCATGCATATTGCTTTAGGTTAATAGACTACATTAAGTAGGCTATGTATGCTTGCAAAACTAGACTACTGATTGCTACAATTGAACAAATACTTTTATAAAAAAGTATTTAGAAATGCAGATTTTATTAAATCTTGGACACTTTATCAATGCAAAACCAAAATGGAAGGTTGTTATTATTGGGGTGACGGTAGTTCAGTTACCTGTTTGAGTGCCCACCCCTTTTCTCTCAGGCGCTGTGATGAAGACACTTTGCCTACTGTTGGTGGTTAGACGGCTTGATATTGTTGTTGGTATGGCAGCCTCACTTCAGTCAGCGTGCCCCAGGGCAGCTGTGGCTATGGTACAGTTTACCACCATAAGTGCATGAATGACTGATTTTAGTGTAAAATGCTTTTGGGTCCCCAGACCTCATATAAAATACATGCCATTTACCACTGATACAAATTAATCACTGCTCTTTCAGACCCTTAAAAAACTTTTTTTTTATGTCAGGAAGAATTTGAAGATGGAAAGTTGTCAGAATATGCAAGAAAATGCATTAAAGTGTTTTATTACTCTAAAGAGAAATAAACAACATCAAACTTATCTGTCCCTTCATATTATTGCAAGTGCTGCGTAAATCAAGTGCATTTAGATGTTTTTTGTTTTTTTTAAATAGAAAGTTGCCAAAAAGGCGACACTTATTTTGAAAGGTAAACCGGAACAGACACCCTTCCTCAGGGCCGACTTCACAGTGACGGCAGGAATGGCGGCTATGATTACTAGAGGAAGGAGCCCCAAGACCCTGAAACTTTACTTCTAACGGCCCAGTGGAAGAGTCTGCCTCGGGCAAGGATCAGAAACAGCATCCTGCCGAAGATCCAGGGGAGAGGAAGTCCTGTACTCCGAGACCAACGCGGCTCATGTCCGGATCGAGGAGGTGGACGCACTTTGCTAGTTTAGCCCGCTGTTCGTGCTGCTGACTTTGATTCAAGGTAGCCGTGTTAGCGGCTGG